CGCACCAGAACCACGCGAGGCTTGTTGTGGCTTTGAAGAACACCTACGCTCAGGTACGCCGGGCCTCGGGCGGGCGCTGGGGGGCTGGACCCGTCAGGCGGAGGGGCAGGCCGGGCGCTCGGGGAGGCGATGGAAGCTGTTTGGGTACATGAGAAGTCGGTGTGACACGGGATAGTAATGAGTGAGTTGTACTGACTGCCCCTCTTAAACCTGTTAGCAGGAAAATGTAAACTCTAGAGCAGAGCCCAGCAGGCCAACCGTATGCCTGCTGTGGCGTTAAAGCGGAGAGTGCACCTTTGCACGTTTAAATGGAAGCTGTTGGTTATAAACCCATTTTTTTTTTTTCTGTGGTGCTGCTCTTGAAAGATGAACTGCGTATTTAGTTTTGCTGTGGTTTGATTTTTCTTTTTTTACAGTTGGAAGATAAGGAATGTTTTCATGAAAAATTCGTTCATTTCCTTAAGTATGCTATGATAATCTACAAGCGGGAACCAGCAGTGGAACAAGTGATCAATTTTGTGGCCAGTTTTGTTACTTCATTTTATCAAATGGAGAAAGTGGATGGTGGTGAGGAAAGAGAAGATAATTTACTTCTGAATTATGTGTTTAACTTTTTACTTGAGGTACAGTCACACTTATTAAATCTTTAACATAACAAATTGAAATTCCGTGCAGTGGGGAAAACTTGCTGGCTCTTGTGATGATACCTAGTAAGTAGAACTTAAAAAGTGAAAGCGAGACAGAGCTAGTATTAGGAATAACTCCCCATCCCCATAAAACACCAAACCCACTCAATAACCCAACAATCAGATTACAAGAGTTAGATCCGTGAGGAATATGAACTGTTTTCTTATTTTACTGTCAGATGTTTCATTATAGGCTTTAATGTAGATGCATGTATAAGCATAGAATTCTGGGAGTGCTGTAGAAATTAGTTTATACTGTTTCTTTGTTAAGTAAAAATATTACAAGATCGTTTCTTATGAATATAGTTGGCACGTGTATTCTTCCTTTCTGCTCACTGAAAGCAGAATAAAGACGACCAGCAATTCCAGTAGTATGAAAACATAAGTAAAATTACTTTTTCTTAAACTAGTGCTTTGACATGGAAAAATTACTGATCAGGCCAAGATCACTAGTCATCATTGCTGGCATCTTTTTGTTTTATTTTTTTTCCTCTAATGTTTTATGGCAACAAATTGGTAAGTTAGCTAATGTACTGTAGTCTACCGTGAGTGGGAAGCATGTTTCGTCCTTGTGTAGGCATTGCTAATTATGTCCAGTGCCACTGATCTGGGTGATGGGCCATAATTGTTTTTCTGCTCTGTGCCTTTTTAAACATAAACGTAAATAGGAGAAGCTTTTGAAATACAGAAGTGCATATTTCACGTACTGTATAGAATATTAAGTACTTCATTTGCACATTAGTAATGTTATGCTGGAAATGAGAAAGGTGTCATTATAAACAATTTTTCTTTCCCCAAGTCTCACGATGCAAACAGCCATGCAGTTAGATTTCGAACGTGTCAGCTTGTTAACAAGATTTTGGGAAATATGCCAGAGAATGCCCAGATTGATGATGACTTATTTGATAAAATCAATGAAGCTATGATGATTAGACTTAAAGATAAATTTTCAAACGTGAGAATTCAGGCTGTCTTGGCCCTGTCAAGACTTCAAGATCCTAAGGATGAAAACTGCCCTGTTGTTAATAGTAAGTAGTATTGAGTTTTTTCTTTTTAAGGACATTTGTCCATTTACATTGCTTTAAAAAAAATTTTAAGCATTTTTTTTTAAGCATCGAGGAAACAAATCTTGGAGAATATTCTTCTGAGTCTGTAAACTGTGGAACTCTGCCAGAGGCTGTAATTGCAGAGTTGTGTACAAGGGGAAAAGGCAGAACTGCTTGAAGGAGAGATCTGCTGGGGGTTAAAGGACAGAGAACTCATATTTGTCTCAGGCTGTTTTAGGAACTGAACACAGCTGATATGATGAGAGAGTAATGGCATGTTCTGAATTGGGGTGGAGATATGGTATGTGCTGGCTCAGTTCTTATACTTTAACATTTTTTACTATTAATTGAATTTGTATGAAACCACTTATAGGAGTAGAAATTATAATAGAAAACCTAATTTTATCTCAAATTATGGCTGTTGGCCCTATGAGAGGCAAACAGGTTACTGACATTGTTGAGCTATGCAGTTTTTGGCTTTTAAAAAAAAAAAATTTAAAATTTTTTTATTTGGGTTTTTTTTTTTCCAAATCTTTTCTTATTCATGGGTCACTTTCTTGAAGAGATCAGCTTGTCTGTAACCCAGGTTTTTTGATGCTGTTTTTGTGCCATTTGTGGGTTTCTTTGTGTATGATATGATTCTTGACTAAGCTTCTACTTTCACTGCCTCCAGGTAGATGGACTGTACATTTATACCAGCACTGCTGCTGAGACTTGATTTCACTTTACATAGTTTTTTATGAAAAGAAAGATAATTGGGGTTTATTTGTTGTTAAGGTACCTTATTTGAAAATAATTTTCTAAGTTTTTGTTTATAAGCTGCTTATTTAGGAGCATATGAATTTCATAGTCATTATCTCACAGAACAAGATGAATTCCAGTATTTTTTGAATAAATTCTTTTTGTTACTGCTTTTAAATTTGAAGAAAGGCCAAGATGATAATAGAAAGCATTATGTGAGAGGTTTACTGTTAGATCTTTGTTATGATTAATAAAGATTGGAGTTTTACATTTATAGCAAAATTTGAAGTTCCACCTCAGAGATAATGAAGATGTGTAGCCAGTGAATATAGGTCTGAAGGAGACAAGATTTGGAAGCAATTTGTGGATTTTTTTTTCTTTTTGTGTGTTTTGTTTTTATTTAATCCAGCAAGTGACAAAGTGGTTATTTATAGGTGGGATCTAGAGTAACAATTTTCAGAGTTAACTGCAGAACTACTTACGATTGCAATACTAGTTTTGTAGCTGCATTTCTTTTGAGGTGATAGCTCAGCATGCAAATGCCATAAAATCTTGGGGTTGTGGCCCTAAACTGTTTCCGAAATTTGTATGAGCTGTACAGGGGTAGGGGAGAGGTTTTAGTAACAGCTGCTGAATATTTTTTTTTTTACTATTTTCTGGTTTTCTATACTTTTCATATGAGTTTGGAAAACATTATTGTGACTATTTTACTTTCAGTTTACAACACATTGCTTGAAAATGATTCAAATTCAGAAGTGAGGCGTGCAGTGCTATCATGTATTGCTCCATCAGCAAGAACTTTGCCAAAAATTGTAGGCCGCACTATGGATGTAAAGGAAGCTGTCAGGAAGCTGGCATATGAGGTAAATTGGATCACTTATTAGTTTAAAAGACTGACTTAGGAAAAAGGCTTTAAATCTTTTATTAAATTTCTTGTGTTAAACAAATAATTGTTAAACAGTTAAATAATTTATTTTCACCTACCAGAATTTTGAGGGGGAACTTAATGAAAGTTTTCAAGTTGAAAACCCTGAACTTGACTGCAAAGCTTGCTTGATAGAAGTTACTATTGTGATAGAACTCAGCTCTTGAGGATAAGGCAGTAAAAGTATAAATGATATATACTATCTGTGAGTTTCTATCTATGCGTTTTGTGATTTGTAAAGCAATTTTTTTTCTGTTATTCCATAAAAAAGTTAGGATCACAGCAATACTAGTGTAAAAAAACTTGCATAGTTTTTGGTACTCCAGTTTTGGGAAATACTAACCATTACTTTATATGTAAAGGTAGGGGCAAGAATGTGTTCTACTGTGTATATTTCTTGTGCAGGCATCCTAGGCAAGATCTATAAACAAAAAGTTAAGTCCATCTCTGACCCATTTTCTGCTCTTTCTTAATATAGATTAAATTCAGCTGTTTAACTGAATCTCTGTGTTAGTAGGCTTTAAGAAAAGTACATATTTTGGCCTTTCCGTTGCTCTTGGAGCTTTAAAGAGTTTTCATATCCAGATGTTGCATTCAAGCAGAGCTGCCAAACTTCTAAGCTAATTGTTAAGTTTATTGTTACTTTATTTTACATCTTTGTCCATGCACTGCTTGTTAATATATTGGTACAACGTTGATGGTGTAAGTATTACAGGCTTTTACTGACTTAGGATTTCTTTGGAAGGATGAAACAGTTTAAAACTACAGGTAGTTTATGAATTCAGTTGTTATAATTTGTAGAAATTTAATTTTATATTTTCATTTTTTTAAGGTTTTGGCAGAAAAAGTTCACATGAGAGCTCTGTCAATAGCACAGAGAGTTAAGCTGTTGCAACAAGGATTTAATGACAGATCTGGTAGGAGATCATCTTCCTTAACATCTTAATACAAATATTTAAGAGAGAATACTTTCTAGTGTTTTGCAGATGATTTATGTGGAAACTGTGATGGCAATAGTAAGGAGCTCAAAGGGGGAGTTGTGAGGTAGTGGGAAATATTTAAGCACAATAAATTCTGCTTCCTGATTTTTTTTTTTTTTCCAATCCCTTTATAGTGGACAAACCAGAAAAGGATTGCACTTCTGAAAAACTTGAAAGCCAGTGAGCTCTGAAATAGGACTAAATGCTATTAAAATTAAAAAGCAACAGTGTAATTAAACAGAGAAATAGAAAAATGTAATTTAACTTGGTGCATTTTGAAAAATCTTAGAGATATTTTTGTAACTAATATATTAAGGAATTAAAATATAAATATTAATATCAGCTTGATATTTGTTTGAACAAATATCCTATGTGCTTTTGGAAATAAATCTTATCAGCTATTTTTTTAACTAGCTTGAATGTGGTAGAAGCATGATGTTTTTACTTCCCCCAGACTATCAGCCTTTCTGCTTCCTGGCTTAAATCAGTGTGCGTGTGTTAATGATGTACGTATTGTAGATGCTTTCATGAACACTGTTTTCCTTCATTAAATAGTACACTACTGGTCCAGAAACTATTTGTGGCAATGGGGAGGAGGGTCTTAAGGTGTCTTTCTGTATATTTCCTAATTCAGCTGAATAACTGAATTAATATCAGAATTCTGTGTGGCAGTTCAGACTACAGATCCGTACAGCTGTATCCTTCCTCCAAAAGTGGCCAATCCCTGTATGCCCAAAATAGAGTAATTATATAACAGTGCTTCCCCAGAAAGCCCTGCAGGACTTAATGGTTTGTAGATTTTCTGTGTTGAGGTGATGGCTGTAGGTGTAACAGCTTTTGGACAGAGGGATGTTCTTTCTTTATTCCCTGTGGGGAGGGGGAATATGTTGCCTCAAAAATGTAGCAGTGCTCCATATGGTATTTCTTATTTAACTATTTTGGTTTCTTTTAATTTTTTTATAATAATGTTAAGTTGAACTGTATAATAACTTCTTTGCACAAAGCTTTCTATGAAAAATTATTTGTGAAAGTATGTTGAGAACTTGGTACTTTTTGACCATTAATATTCTACACAATACAAATTCCTGTGTCATTAGATGCTGTTAAGGAGGCAATGAAAAAGAAGCTGCTTCAAGCCTGGTTACAATTGACTGAAGGGGATCTCTTAGAATTGCTTCATCGACTGGATGTGGAGGACTGCCCAGAAGTGGCCATTCCAGTACTAAATGCTGTGTTTTCATTATCCTCCCTTCCTGACTTGGTTCAGAACTGTAAAACCCTTGACAGCAGGTATGTAGATCGGTTTTAATTTCGAAGAGATGACTATGTTGTAGAACACTATTAAATTAAATGTTATATCTAAATGGGGATCAGAGTAGCTATGACCTTGGATGAAAGACTGATACTGTGGTGTAAGCCATGGTGTCTCCCTTGTGTTTCCATACTTCAGTGTATGGGATATGCTTCTTCTTTTAAAAAAGATCTGCATTCACCAGCTGAAAAAGTTTTTGTGCTAGATAAGCAGGGAAAAAAAATTAAAAATGTCTTTGACTTGTTTCCTGAACACCCCAAAAATCACACTCCTAGAATTTAACAGATAGCAGCAAATTAATCAACTAAACAAGCATTTCTGTAAGTAACAATTTAGTCTAAGTTGTTTTATTTTCTGTGCTGTCCGTAGATCTTACAATAAAGTCTATTTTACCTCCACAACTAATTTTCTCTCTTGTAGCCTGTGGTACTGAAAAGCTCATTTTCTCCCATTCCTTCTCCCTCTTGGAATGGTTCTGATCTTTCTCAAATGTTTTCTAGTGCATTTTGGCTTTCCTCTGTTTTTGCTGAGCTAGAGGCAGCACAGTTTGGGGTTGGTTCAGTTATCTATGAAATGTTTGGAGAATCAATCAGAATGGAATTATTTGGATTGTGATTTCAGCCTTCTTTTGGAGGTGTTATTATTAACAGAACTTGACAGAAGTTGGTATCTTAGAGGCTTCTTTTCCTGTGTGTAATGCTTTGGTAGAATTTGATTAAGTGAGTTCCTAAGCTCTAAAGAAGATAGTGTGATGAATATTAAAATCCATATAGCAAAAATGAAGAGGGGAAGAAGCCAAGAAATTAGAAGCTGTAGGAAATTACTAAGGGAGACAAAAAGGTGAGAAGAAACAGCTTAATTGAGGCAGCCAGAGTGGAATGAATATTAACAGTGGCAGGAGTCTAATCTCGGATGAGAAACTTAAATGACAAATTGTCACTGATTTCAAAAGTGATTTAAAATAAAAATCTTATTTTTTGTTTTGGAGGAAAATTTGTAATGTCATCATATGAAGTGTCTTGCATGCTAGAGTAGCTTATGACTGATGTTTTGAAATCAGTAGATACTACATACTCTGCACTCCAGACCTGCAGATGTGCACCTCTCTGGCTTGAAAAAGTGCTAATAATGGTAAAATAACTTCCTTAGATTCTCTGGAAGTGTGCCAATGTCTTAGGAAGCTCAAAAGAAAAGTTATGTAGTTATGGGCATGTCAGTCTGACTTCAGTCCTGCACAAAATAAGCTTCCATTCTGTGAACAACTGGACTGATTTTTTTTTTTTTTTAAAAAGTCTCTGTTAGACTAATGACATTTTGAGAAGTGAGAGAAATTATTCAGCCTGTGAGGCTATCTGATCTATGGAAAATATTGGGCTTGTTCTTATATGGTGTTCCTGACCACAGTTTGAGTTATGTGGAATCATGATGAGAGCTTAGATTTTTAAAGTGCATGAATTCTGTTTGTGAAATTATCTTTTAAATAAAGGCATATCAGATTAATGGGAAGCCCTCAAATGGTCATTTTCAATCTGTGTTGCTGAGGTGTTTTTTTATTTTTTATTTTTTGTGTATGTGTGAGAGGCCTAAAAAAACCAGAGTTGTTGTTGATAGTTTGCAAGTAAAATAGTATTCAAGGCAGTGCAAAGTACCACTGACAGTGATGCTCTCTTTTCTGTTTTGAGGTAGAATTAATGCACAACTGAATGTTCTGCTTCTGAAAACAAAGATTATATGTCATGGTTAGCAAAAGACTGATTATGAAAAGGAAGGGTGTCCTATTACTGGTAAATGAAGGATGAGCTTAGAGATGCTGAGAAGCAGTTCTATTACTTTTTGTGTTTGACGTACTGTGATTGCTACTTGAATGTTGTGTGAAGGTTGTCTAGTAAGAGCAGAAGCAGCAATTCATAAACAGAAGCTGAGAAGTAGTTGAATGCAGTTGTTGCATTTCTGCAGATTAATGGAGTTCAGTTTGCCGGATTTTTACAGTGATAACAAGGTTTCATAGAGTTCATGGGTGCTTGCTGTGGAAGGTCTGAAGGGCTGAGCAGAATCTTTCTGCAAATGGGTATGAACAGCCTTGATTTAAAATACCGACAAGTGCAACGTAGTGAGAGGTTCAGGGACCTTAGTGCCCTCACTAAGAAGGAGGAATTTACCTTTGTCAGGCTTTATTTTAGGAAGAAATCTATTTCTGTGCATTTGTTGTCTTTGACCCTATTTTATTTCTCAATCTGTGTTTATTTTTGTTTAGAAAACTGATTCCACTGGAAGACTTAACAGCTGAGAATGTGTTATATTGGAGATGTCTTTGTGAATATGTAAAATCAAAAGGTGAAGAAGGTGAAGATTTACTAGAGCAGGTGTTGCCAGAACCAGCTATATATGCAGATTACTTATTAAGGTACATTGCATTTAAAAATAAATGTCTTGCCACTAAAACAGATTATCTAATTTTTTAAAGTAGAGAATGCTTTTTATTCAACTATTCAGATTTCCTCCAACGCCAGAGTAGTGCTTGAACAGGGATTTAAAAAAAAAATTAAAACTTTAAAAAAAGCTTTGTAAGAGAATTTACTTCTTTCAAACGAACTGTAAAAAGCAAATTTATAACTTAAAGTATTTTGAGTGTCCTTTCTCATGAATTGTCAGCCAGATGGACTGCTACATCAGTAGTGTATAATTCTTTGCCATTTAAGATAACAGAGTAATTGTTCCGTAATGTGCATCTATCCTTTGCTCATCTGTTATGTGAGTTGCTGTGTGTTTGCAAAGAGCTTACAGTTTTTTAGAGCTTGCAGAAACAAATTGATTTGTTGGTAATTTATGAAAATAAAGTAAAATTTGATTGCTGTCCCCAAGAGAAGCATTTTTGAGAAGGAAAGTTCATTTCTTTCTCTCCTCTGGCCAGGCAGGCATGCTTCCCAAAAACTTACCTTTGAAGGCAGCGACAGAGCTGCAAAATGAGTTATCTAAAGAACATCTCTGGAGACTTTCAAAAGTCTCCTGGACACGTTCCTGTGTAACCTGCCCTACGTGAACCTGCTTTGGCAAGGGGATTGGACTAGATGATCTCCAGAGGTTCCTTCCAACCCCTACTATTCTGATTTAATTGAGGGGGAGGGGGATGAAAATTAAGTCAATCTTTTTAACCAAGTGAAGAAAGGTTTTGTTTTTTTTTTTTGTCTCAGCGGGATACTTTAGTCTTAACATAAAATTTGAACAGAATTTATGCTTGTGAGCATGGATTTTGAGAAATCTTAACTGAGGTATTGTACTTGCAAAATATAGAGTGAAGCTTCCTGAAATTATTATAAATCAAATATGCTGAAAAATGCTTTTTTTTTGGTAGGTGCTTCCCATTAAAAATATGCATATTCTTTTCTCACTTCAGTGGGTGTAGTATGCTAGTAGTACTTAGCAAAATCATCGCTACTTTCCAATGTGAAATGTGCTAACATGTTTCATAAACATTTAATAAATGAAGTGTCTATGCTTCCTTGATTTTGAAATGTGGATCCAGTCTGGTGGGTGCAAATTTATTCATTCATAATTAAAGAGTTCATAAAACATTTGTTCTCAAAAAAAAAAAATATTCATGCAATCTCTACGCAGAAAGGCTTCAATTATCTTCCCCTTCCGGAAGAAGTTGAGTAGGATTAATTAGATTTGCTAGTAGTTGTCTGCAGTATTGTTGGCTGTTAAACTATTCATTGCCGAGCTGTGCCACCAATTGCTTCAAGTAAGATTTGCAATTGTACAATTCAGGTCTTTATTCGCACAGTGAGAGTATCAGGCGAAGGAAGAAGCTGCAAGTCATTTAAAATTAAGAAAAAATGCAGTATTGTAAGCTTCATTTAGATATTTCACTATTATCTGGTGTGGCAACATTATTGCTAAATTATCAGAAACAGCTGCTTACAGTGTTGTAATTTCAGATGTTCTTAAATAGTAGCTACATGCAAAGTTTTTGTCCTAACTTTGAAGAATTTTTAAAAATTTACTAAATTTAATTAGCTATTGAAAATATCTGCAAAGCTGTGATAAAAATAAGCATCTTTTCTCCAGCTTATATCAGAATTCAAATTTTACCTATTACATCATATTTGGTATTGGATTTTGTACATGATGCTTCATGCCAGATTATCTGAACATGTCTGCTGTCATTGATGGATAAAAGAAAAGAACAGTGACTCTAGAAAGATAAAGAAACACAACAGACTGATTACACTTTCCATGCTGTGTGGCTGAGTTTATCTGACAACAGATTGCTCATCTTCCACTTGATCAGATAAAGAATTTCAAACCCCCTGCACACTTCAATGATTGTCTTGTATTTTGTTTTGTAGTCAGTGTAACACTTCTGAACATGTAGAAGGATACCTAGTATCTAGATATGCAGAAAAATACTAGTGTTGTATATGAGAAAAATGGTACGCTATGTACATCTGTTCCTAAGATGCTGCCTTTTATGCAGGGGTACAGACCTGAAATTGCCAAAAGAGTAAGAAACGGAAAAGTACAAGTTATGCTTGTACATGCTTTCTCAAACAAGGGATTTTTTTCATGAAGTGCATGATGTTCAAACTGTACATTATTTGGTCTAAGTAACTTTCTGGATCTATTAATCCATGAAAAGAACGCAGACATTAATTTTTAAGGTTTGTAACTAAGATAAACACTTGTTAATACCGGACAGGGTTTTTGAGTTTGTGGGGTTTTTTTGGATGGGGGAGTGTGTCTTTCGTTTTTTTGGTGGTGTGTGGTTTTTTTGTAGTATGTTGGGCTTTTTTACTTTCCAACAATGATTCTGAATGTAATTATATCTGTTCTGTTTGGATACAGCTACCTTCAAAATATGCCAGTTCTTAGTGAAGAACAAAGAGAAGACTTTAATTGTTTTGAAAACCTGATGACAAAAGAATTTATAGGACAGCAACTGATTCTTATCATAGACTGCATGGATACCACAGAAGAAGGAGGGAGGTAGGCTTAAATATAAAAATCTGTGTTACTGGGCTTATGGCATTTGTGCCTGTGGACAGGCATTGAGTCTCTGCTGGGAAAATAACCTGATCAGACAGACAAAATGCAATTCTAAAGCCAGCTGGAAAAAAAGGCACAGTCTCTTTAATGGAGTTGTTCCCCAAAGCGTGTCAAGTATCGTCTGCTTATTTTTATGGAAAAATGAGTTTCAATGCAGATAAACATTTTTTTCGGGGAGAACAAGGTCAGTTGTTTTCATAACGTGTTCTTGAAATTCTGAAGTTACAAGACTGTTCCTTTGGAATGTAGTACATGAAAAATGAAAGGAGATAAATGGATTATTTCTCAGCAGATGACTCTAAGTAGCTTGTGTGTTTCTCGTGTTTTTAAGCCCAGTTTGCTCGTGCTTGAAAGGTTACAGATGGTTTAGATGCCAAACTGAACCGGACTGTGTTAACAGAGTCATTCCTCTCATTTGAACAGCCTTTTGATGTGAAGTAATGAGGGACATTTGGAAGTTCAAACCATCACAGGCATTTAATGAAAAATTGCAGTTATGATAGTACAAGAATAGCAATAATTTTAAACTCGCAGTGGAATGTGTTATCTGTATGCCAGACTGGCAGGATAGTTTAACTTGTAATTTTTTTTTTTTTAGTTTCCAGCCAGATAATTTCTATAAAGGCATTCTGCAGTACTGATAATCTGTTTTCTGCTGGTATGACCTTTTGTTGAACAGCAGAGACATCTGATTAAAGAAGTTCAGCATTTTCTAATCAAGAGATACGAAGTAAAATCAAGAAAGGACAAACATTGCTAAGAAAGAATTTCCATCAGTTAATACAGAAAAGTTTCTCTTATAATGTATTACAAAGTCTTCATAACATAAACTCAAAGTGGGTAAAATATTAACTCTTGTCTTCCATCTGAGTAAGCAAGTGGATTGTTTTTTTTTCTTCTTGAATTTAGAAAGCATCTGTTGGCTACTTTACAAAGGATTCTTATTCTACCTACAACTTCAACAGCCCTTGTATCTCTGCTTGCAGAAAGATTACTTGGTATTGTTAAGGATGATGACAGAAGGATTCAAATTGTAAGTAATTCTAAAGGCTCATTGCTTTCTATGCTCTACCTTCCCTGCATATCAAACAGCCCTTAGAAGGCATTTTAACAAAATATCAGGAGCTGAAGTATTTTTGATTGGGAAAAAACACTTGTTTAACTACTTTTTTACTTTTTTTTTTTTTTTTTTTTTTTTTTTTTTTTTTTTTTTTTTTTTGTGCTTAGCATAGCTGCATTTTGTTTTTCTGAAGATGTTTCTTTGAGATTTGGCTGGTCTTCTAAAAGTAATCCCCAAATTAGGAAAACATTACACTTCAACAGCCTGTTTCAGAATCCTTTGTCATATTAGCTCCAAACAATTTTAGCTAAAACATTCAAAGTGAGGTTAATTTAAGTTTCCAGGTTTCAAATTTGACTTCTCCCATTTGAGCTGAAATGGGTACTAAAAACCCGTATAAGAAAAGTATTTTATTTAGTAGAGTCTTTATATACAGCATAATCATTTAAACTGAACTCTTAAAAAATAGACCCTTGATTTTGCTCAAGTATTTCAAATGAACTCTGGACTTAAACAGGGACCACTTCTGGAAAACCTCAGTCCAGTGGCTAAAGCCTATGATAAATGTTTGTTACATGATTACAATGGAAGGACCATGATAATCTTCCTATTACAGTAAAATAGCAATAGTAAATGTATGCATTTCCAGAATTCTAGTGAGATACACTGAGTCAGTACATTTTGCTGATTTGGAACAGCTTGAGAGGAAGCTAAAGTTAAACTGAGGTGATCTGATACAGGATAAATCGAATTAAGACTATCCTTAAGACATTCAGTCTTTAGTTTTCCTCATGGTTCATCTCATTTTTTATTAATATAATGGGTCTAACTTTAAAGAAAACCCCCAATCAAATGAAAAATTCAGCCTACTTCTGCTTCTGTTTCTGTACATGTTTTTGGCTTGAGATTAAATTGCTCATGGTTTCTTATACTACATATGGTGTTTTATAGATCTTTAAATGACAATGTTCTTAGTTGTGTTTTGACTGAAGTAGTAAAAACCTAACTCTAGGTTCTAGTAATTCTTTTGAAAGCATGTATTCAGATCTAGAGATGATGTTGGCTGAAGTGTTGGCATAAACCCTGCTTAACTTATTGATGGATATATGGTCTTCTGTTTTCTTGCTTACCTTTCTAAATGGTAGAAAACACCAGACTTTCATGGTTAGACTGTGTATTGGAAAATGGAGGGTTCATTTGCCGTGAATTAGCTGTAGAGGGAGACTGCACTGATGTTCAATACTTTTTCAGAAGGATGGTATTTGAAATTTGGGAAAGCTAAATGCTTAGTATCTGACATCTGAGCTGAAATTAATGGCACTGATACATTGTTTGTAACAATAGATTGCAGAAATCATATCAGAAGTTCGTGAGCCAGTTGTTACAGTTGACCAGCCTGTTGATGTTGCTGAAATAAGAAAGCGGGAGCTCAAGGTAAGCAGATTTTAGTTAACAAGAGAAATGTTTTAAGCATATCCACCTAGGAGGAGTTTTATATGGTAGTGTGTTATTGGCTAGTGCCAATAGGGTATTGTTGGCTAATATAACAAAGGTTATGATATTATATTAATTTTCTCTTTACTTTGTATTTCAGTTGGCTGAAATAAAAGTGAAACTTTTTGAAGCAAAACAAGCTTTGGAAGAATGCATTGCTGTGCAGGATTTTAATAGAGCATCAGTATTAAAAGAGACAATAACTGAGTTGGAACAGAGAAAAAATGAACTGATAAAAGAAGCAGAGCAACCTGAAATTAAAGAAATGCGTGTGGAGAAGGTCTCTTCCTTTCCCATACTCCTAAGTGCTGGTTGTATTTTGATGTTTGTTTGTAGTTTTAAAAGTGTAGTTTGCCTTTGTGTCATCTAAATGTTTTTAAGTTGAAAATGGACACTTATGGTGTTAGTATTCTCCTTCTACATGTATAGAAGCTGATGGTATGCTCTAGCAAAGATTGAATTGCAGTTAAAACTGCTCTTTTGTCCATGAGTAACTAAAGAATTCAAAAGGGTCTTGTTTTCATCACTTTGAACTAGGTGTGGTAACATGAACCTGAATCTATTTTTATCACAATTTATAGATTTTGATTAATATTCTTGCACAACAAATGTGTAGAGGACAGGAAATGTTCATTTGGGTAGGGGAAAAATTGTGATTTATGTCCCTGTTCTTTTTACCACAGCTACCATTTGTACTAATAATGTATTTGTGTTTTCCCTGACCCATTTGAAGAATGATCCTGAAACACTGTTGAAGTGTCTGATGATGTGCTATGAGCTCCTGAAGATCATGTCCCTTTCTAAAGGAATTGGTCCAACTATTAAAGAACTCACTGAATCTCTGGTATGTAGGAATAAATACTGCTTACATTGTAATAAAAATGGATACATCATAACTGGCCCTTAAATGCTGGCAGGGTGGTTTGTGATTATTTCACAATCACTTTGCTGTATCTGTAGTGTTGTATCTGTAGTGCTGTGTCTGGCGCTTTTAAGACTTCCCAGAACCTCGTGTCTCAGAGGTAGAATCCAGATTCACTGTTCTGTACTCCTGTGCCAAAACTGGTTGTGGCAGAGAGACACTGAAATAAAACAGGAACATGGTAAATATTTGACTAATGCATGACGGTGAAGTACACTGTGTCAACTGTGGTGTGCTTAGGCATCTACTTACTGCCCTTGCTGGTATCTTAATTACTTGGATTTTTCTATCGACCGATGAGACTTCTAATAAAGAACTTTTAAGATTATTTTTTGTGTGTGTGTCTGCTAGTCAAAGGCTTTTTGTCTAGGAAAGACTGCAACTCATACAGACCTTTCTTTCATCCCTTCCATGTATGAGGAAAGATGTTTGGAGGGATACCTCCTCCATACTCTTTTTTTCCTATCTCCTTTGAAATGCAAAATATTTCTGTATTGAAAAATAAAGCAGTGGCATTATAGTCCTCTTACAGTCTACAAGATATATTTGCTAGTTTTAATTTTAAAGAGTATGGATTTTAAGAGTAGCATTGCTAAATATCACAGCTTTTTAACTATTACTGAGTGAGCAAACAAAATGGAAAAAAGTAATACGCCATTGTGTGAATGGTGCTAGCTCACCTGAAAACTGAGTGCAATTCTTACCTGTCTGGAAAGTTTTATATTTTAATTGGAAATGGTTAAGAGAAGGGTGGCAAGGAAAAGGTATGGAATGGCTTCTGTATGAAAAGGGACTAAATAGGTTACTTTTTCATAATCTGGAGGAGGGAGGACTTAAAGGTAGGATCTGAGAGAGGCCAGAATTCTTAAGACATGAATGTTATAGAGACAGTGAATAAGGATGGGTTGACCACCCCATAAAGCTAGCAACTAGCAAGCTCAGGACAAATTAAATGAGTTGATTCTTCACATATGTGATCTGTAGAATTCCTTGTCACAGGATGTGTATGTGACGAGCAGTTACGTAAATTTCAAGGAAGACTGAGCAAGTTAAAGAAAAATATTATGGAATGACTAGGTAGATAGGAACAGCCTCCCAGCTCTGGTGTGTCTCACCTGGAAATTGTTGGGGACTTGACAAGAACTGTTGAGAATTACCTCTTTAGTCTGTTTATGTAATAAACATTGTACAGGAATTTGATTTTGGTCTTTTTTGTTAACAAGACAATGGGCTAGATGACCTGACTCAGCATGGGCATTTATAGAATTCAAAGTTGCAAAGAAAATTACAACACCAATTTAGATTAGCTTAAGTGTAGTAGAACCACATCTGATTTCTCTCCAGATTTATAGAAATATTTTTAGAAATCTTAATTAGTGTTGCTGTGTTCCACAGAAACCTTTTTCATTAGGTCGTGTTTTCATTTTCACATTCGTTGTTTATTCCACTTTTCTTTCTACAAGATCCTGCTTCCATGTTATTGTTCCTGCCGAATTTTCACATATTACATGATTTTGGATATCTTTGTTGTTGCTTAAACTTCAACTGTTCAGTAAATGCAAAAATAGAAAATAGTGTCATTCTAAGTCTGCATGTTCTTTCATGTGGATTTTTACCGTTGTCTTCTCAAAACTATTCCAAGCGCATGAAGTGACATCTTTAGTTTGCAGCTTGGAACTGGGTGTTGCTTCTCTGCAAGAACTCTAACGTCTTTTATGAAGAAGTGTGTAGGGGGTTTGTTGTGTGCTTTTTTTTTAATTTCATGAGTGATAAACTCAATTTTGTTTGAAAACAAATTTATTAAAAACAAGTACAAAGCAAAACACTCACAGTTTTTGCCATTATTTTGTTGCTGATTTCAAACAGCATACTTGATTTACTAGTTTAGATTTAGATAAATAGAGCACATAGTAGTTCCCACTTTTCAAAACAAATTCTTTTTAGTTTTAGGGCAAGCACATTTTAGGAGTCAATATTTTGTTTTCAGTAATTTCATCTCTAAAGTCTAATATTATTGTTTCTAGATACTTCCTGGCATAACTAATGTCCATCCAGCTGTGAGAAATATGGCAGTTCTGTGTTTGGGGTGCTGTGGCCTTCAGAGCAAAGAATTTGCTCGACAACAGCTTACATTGCTGCTACAGGTAAAATGTCTGATGGAAAATGGAATGATGGTCCCTGTGACTTAGTAAATAAAACTAGTTTTGTGTCTGTAATAAGCTCTTCTACATAGTTGCTTTATTTGAAAACCAGCAATTCCTGATCTCCTAAAGATCTGAAGAGTATGATTCCATGTAGATTTTTCTCATGTCTAATAATATTCAAGCTTATATTATATTCTGGTAGTAGCTTGCTTTTTTGTAAGGTCACCTGCTGTCTTGAACATTTGTAGGAATTCTTCTGTAAGGTCTCATTGTCTCTGAACCTGTGAAATCAGTCGTGTTTATCTTAGTACAACACAGAAAAGGGAAGCTTAGGATTCTGTAAGCCTGCCTTCCTTGGGAGACCAAACGAAAAATGTGACTGTAATTGTTTATACATGTCAGTTACATACCTGTAATCTTGGGTGTCCAGTTTAATTTCTGAATTACTGACTTTGTATGGCTTAAGGAATTGAGCGCTCCATTAGAGGATAAAGCAATAGTCAAACTAGCAATCAATAGCATGTCCAAATGCCTATGGATATGGAACTGTTGAATACCCTAATACCCCCACCTCCCATCCTTCTGGTGAACGGTCTCATGCTGGCTCTACAGGTCACTTTTCAGGCCCTGGCTTGGAGAGGAGTGTAGGTGGCCCTTGTACCCTCTTGAGAGCGTGCTGATGTACATGCTCAGGAGAGCTGATGGGCAGGTGTTGAGATTGTGCTTGGCTGGGACGAGATGACAGAGCTGTCAGTCACCACAGCAGGAAAATTTTGGGTTCCTAGAAACTTAGTATATAGCATTATTTTTAATTTGCCTTTGAATATGCCTCATTAAAAGTCTGTGCTTGTTTAGGAAGGATTTCAGTTGCTTTAGCAATTTAAACTTCAAAATTAAGTAATTTCTGTAGGTACTAAACCCAATACTCATGTGTAGGCTGCCATCAAATGCAGGGTGTTGGACTAAACAGATATAGGATCTCTAGGCTAACCCATGATGGACCTATTATTTGAATGTTAATTTGAACTATAATACACATAGTAACCTAGGTAACTTTGACTTTTATTTACTATCTTGCTCCCTGATGTCTTTTGACATACTATTTATTTTAATTGATCTATACAGTATTTCAGAGAAGGGATTGTCTGATGTATTTTTTTTTTTTCTGCAATGCCTAACACTGTGGAGCTCCTATAGACAAACAAGCTTTCTGTTTGTCCAGTGACTATTTAGAAGATGAATACTAAAATTCTGTCTCACATGTACATGCTCACCCTTTAATTTAATTGATTTTCTGTAATAGAAATTGCATACGTGACTTGATAAATTATTTCCCAGACTGCATTACAAAATCAGGTTTAAACTTGTATCACACCTTTCTCAAGTTTGAAATTTCTCCCAAGTATTATAAAAAGTTTCCCAAATTAAATAATATTATTAAAGCAAAAAATCTTACTAGGCTTAATGTTAACACTGGTGGTCTACTCTAAGAAGATGAATGTATTTTCCTTATTAAACCTAGGTGTTACAAATAGATAATATAAAGGTAAAGCTCAGTGCTTTGAAGGCAATCTTTGATCAACTGATGCTGTTTGGGATTGAGCCATTTAAAGCCAGAAGAGGCAATGACTCTGCAAGTGAAGATGGACATACTAGAACTGAAAATTGTGAGGAAGAAAATAAAACAGTAGAGGAGGAAGATGACAATGCTACAATTCACAGCCTCCTGCAGCTTCTTTCTAGCTTCTTAGACAGTGAGGTAAGAAATACTGTAAAATTTGCCTTAGTTTTGTTTTAAAATTATTTTTGCAGAAGTTTTATTATTGCATTAGGTTGCATGTGGATATTACATGATGTGTAACTGAAATTAATAGCCTAATGTTAAAATAGTTGTGCTAGGAAATGACCACAGCTTTGTGACTGATCCAGACTACCATTACTCTTGAGCTAGCTTTGAATTCTGTCCAGGTGCAAATATGTGAATGTAGAGAATTGATTGGCAAAGTAAAATGTAGAGGAGTATTATAAAGTATAAGTAAAAAACACTGTGGTTGATGTGTGTATGATCAATTCTTTCTTCAGTTTTCAGAGCTTAGGACAGAAGCTGCAGAAGGCATAGCCAAACTGATGTTCTCTGGGAGGCTGGTTAGTGCCAAGCTTCTTTCCCGGCTTGTCTTGATGTGGTATAATCCTGTCACTGAAGAGGATACTCGGCTCAGACACTGTCTAGGAGTTTTCTTCCCTTTATTTGCTTATGCAAATAGGTATGGCCTTTGTAAATTATTATGTGAAAGCATACATTGGTCTAGCAGCTTTAGGAAGATATCAAAAGAGCAGGCCGGGTTGTTGTGGTTTGGGTTTTGTTTTTGATTTGCTTTTTAACCAAAGAATACTTCAATCTAAAGTCACAGCAGGTTCAAAATCTCCTGTTTATTTTGGTAGCGGACAAAGGAGGTACAAAGCTTATTTAAGGGGATAGGAGCTTAAATAGTAATTCTCATCTCCTTTCACTTGCTCAAAGGGAAAAAAAAATTTAACTTACTTTTCAGTTGCTGCCAGTGGTTTTGGCCAGTCTGATCTAGCTGAGTTTTTATCCATTTGATTTTGGCTTTTGTGTGTTTTTTTTTTTGTTTTGTTTTGTTTTTGTTTTTTTAATGGTTAAGATTTCACTTTAGGTGTGTTATACATTACCTTAACTATTTTTCCAAACCAAAACGAATGAATTTTTTTGTGACCAATAAATTGCCACATTAAGAGGGGAGTTCAGAAGGAAGTTGGTTTGGAGATGTGGGGGGGGTGGAAACTGCGAACAAATGTATTTTTGCTGTTGGCGG